ATGGAGAGGTACAGCTTTCTCTGTATAAATTGCCTTCCTTAATGTTCCTTGAATAAAATACAATACTAAACACGTTTTTCTTGTAGACCTGTCCTGGACTGGAACAGTATGCCATTAAGAAGTTTGCAGAGGCATTTGAAGCTATTCCCCGGGCACTGGCAGAAAATTCTGGAGTGAAGGCCAATGAAGTAATCTCTAAACTTTATGCAGTACATCAAGAAGGAAATAAAAATGTTGGATTAGATATTGAGGTATTTGGAAAAAAAAACTATGAATTTAAACTTTTATTTCATGTATGTGTAATATAAAAATAGAAGTAGTAAGTTTAAAAGAAAATCAAAAATGTTCTGATTTTTTTTTTTTTTTTTTTTTTAATTTTTTTTTTCAACGTTTATTTATTTTTGGGACAGAGAGAGACAGAGCATGAACGGGGGAGGGGCAGAGAGAGAGGGAGACACAGAATCGGAAACAGGCTCCAGGCTCTGAGCCATCAGCCCAGAGCCCGACGCGGGGCTCGAACTCACGGACCGCGAGATCGTGACCTGGCTGAAGTCGGACGCTTAACCGACTGCGCCACCCAGGCGCCCCAAAAATGTTCTGATTTTTTAAGCAAATGATTTTCATAACAAAGAGCTCTGACAGAGTTTGTCTATGGTTTTCCTTAAAATAGTCTTTATTTTATATTGTGTGTAGGAGAGGACTTTTGCCTGGCAACTTCCAGGCAAAGAGCCCTGGGGTTTTGTTACTGAGTTAATTTTCACATAAGAATTTAGGGTGAAGGAGTGAAAATTGTTTTGTACCAACAGGCTGAAGTTCCCGCTGTAAAGGACATGTTGGAAGCTGGTATTCTAGACACTTACTTGGGAAAATACTGGGCTATCAAACTGGCTACGAATGCTGCTGTCACTGTACTTAGGGTGGATCAGGTGAGTTACAAGTGAAGTTTTGATCTTTGAAAGTACTAATTTTCATGTGGGTCAGTAGTGTATTTTTATGGAACCAGAATATAGCACAGTTCTCATTCTACTCAAAAGTGTGTTTCTAAAAGTTCCCCCCCCCACCCACCCATTTATTTTTTTCTGTTACAGTTTTAAATTGTATTTAGTATATTTCAACTAATTTGAAAGGATCTTTCCAGTGAAAGAAACTTCTGCCATTTTTAAACTGGAATCGTTAAAACAAACTTAAGGTTTATAGTTTTCCGACTTTTTTTAGCCTAAGGATCTCTTTATACAAACAGTCTGGAGAGGGAGTTTACTGTGTAATAATGTGGAATGTGGAAGGCCCATAAAGCCCTGAAACACATGTGTGCCACCAACTTTAAGGAAAACGAAACCTCTACTTGTGCATGGAGGTAGAATCTATGTGTTTAAAGTTCTTCTGGGTGTGACAAATTATATCTTGAAGGAACTAAAAGAAAAGTGTTAAAAATCATAGTATTTTTGACCTTTTTTTTCCAAGAGGGTAGTGGGAGGGAGATTGTGGCACAGAGGAAAATGGTAGGTTCAGATATAAGCTTGAATTCAAAGTTTTTCAAAAAGATGTTTTCTAGTAAAACAGTGAAATCCATTTTCTTGCAGATTTCTCGAACTGATTATTAAGCAATAAACTATTTGTAAATACTTAATGGAAAATTGCAATTGCAAGGGGCCTAGGGCAGATCCATTAGGTGGAAATCATGCCAAATTAATTTTGGGAGAAGCAAGTTGTAGGTAAAAACTAAACAAGAAGGAAATTAGACTTACTCTAGGCATAACAAGGACTGGTTCGTGGTAATTACAGCAAACATTCCATCTCAGTAAGAGGAAGAACAATTTTTTCCTAGCTTGAGATGACCAGAAAATGGAGCTGGATGTCCAATTTCAACCATTGGAAATAAATTGGATGTTCATGTACTGGATTTACTAATAGGTGTTTTTATATCAGTAAATTTAGGTAATTTTCAGTGGAAGAATGCGGTTTTGGAGTTCTGAAATGATAATAGAAGCCTAAGGAAATGGTTGTTTTAAAAATTAGCATGTGGCTAATAGGGGAAACTTAAAATAGAAAGGGACATGGGAAGCTGAGTATATTGAAGAATGAGGTAATCCGGAATTCTAATAGAGGAACTTTTTTGAATGTCCATTACCCAAATGACATAATAATTGTAATAATACAAGTTCCTTGATCACAAAGACACTTGTCAGTTTTGGTTTTAAACTGGGAAGTCTCTGTTTTACAGTAGAGGATGTTCGTTGTTATGTTTCCCTGGTCTTTGCTAAAATACATGATCTGAAGAACCCATGACTATCAATAACCAGTTTGTTAATAACTATAGTGAACTTGTACTCTTTAATAGTTCTAACTAATTTTGCATAGTATATAGTCTGGAAAGGGACATGTAAATCAAGTTTTAAGTGTTGGATAATGTGGAGCTGGGTTCATCTTTGTTCGAGTGTTTATTTCACTAGTTGTCAAGATACAGTCCCCAAATCAACAGCATCAAGATAACCTAAGAACGCGAAAAATTATATATAAATCCTCAGGCCCCTAAGCAGTCCCACTGAGTTAGAAACTCTGGAAGAAGGCCAGGAGTTTTTTATTTTTTTATTGTCTTTTTTTTTAATGTTGGTTTCTGAGAGCATGAGCAGGGGAGAGGGGAGAGGAAGAGGGAGACACAGAATCTGAAGCAGGCTCCGGGCTCTGAGCTGTCAGCACAGAGCACAACGCGGGGCTCGAACTCACGGACCATGAGATCATGACCTGAGCCGAAGTCAGATGCTTAACTGACTGAGCCACCCAGGCACCCCAGGAGTATGTTTCAAATAAGCTCTGCAATGATTGGTGCCTTCCAGCTTGAGAACTGTTGTTCTGGCTGTCTTTTTTAATCAAGCTACACTTAGGTTCTAAAATTGTCCTTAGTGCCTTTAATTCAGTCTGAACTTAATCTCAGTTAGTAAAATGTTACTTCAAGGATTTCAAGGTTAGATTTCCTCCAGAAGCTTCTGAAAAGGGGTGCTGAATCTGTTGGAAGTGGTAGTGAAGACGTTTTACAATTTAGTGTTGCTTGAGACACATCCCCAACCCCTTGATGTTGTACAGAAAGATCTCAGTCCTGTCAATTTGGGAAGCAAAGAATACTGTTTACAGTTTTGAGATTCAGAATGTAGATTAGAGTTTGAGAGTTCCACTTTGAGGAAGCTAATTTAGCTTCTCCCAAATTTATTTGAACCCAGAGTTGCCACCACCCCGCTTTGTTCTCCAAACGAATCCTTTAAAAATGCTAGATGGTTATATTTGCAAAGTACTCGGTTAATGCATTCTAGATAAATTGGAGGTTTCCTGCTGTGTTCTTTTAAGTTACCAGGGAAGTCTACCTACTTGGGTAACGTTTTTTGAATACACACTTCCTACCACTTGAATGGTTTTCATTTTACAGGTACTAGGAAATTTCAGTATTAAATTTTTATACATATTTGTTTATGTACCAACCACTTTAGATTATAATGGCAAAACTGGCAGGTGGACCTAAAGCTCCTAAACCACAAGGAAATTGGGATAAAGATGGTTGGCAAGACGAACTTCATATATAAGTAGCAAATCAGGTGCCGAGCTGACGGATTTATACTAGTAATGCATGCGGATATTTTTCACATTCGGCTCACAGGGCCATCGAGTTCTTGAAGTGCGTGTCTCAAAATGCCCTTTACTAACGTGCGTGGATCGTGTGGCCGTTCATGTCCATAAAAGCAGGAAACGCTTTGCTGGAAGCTAACAACTTGATGTTGATAGAGCCTCATATGCAGTTTATAACAGATCGCTTATGTTGAGATGATTGCTTCATCCTGAATCAGCCTCAGAAAAATATTTTCTCTTCATTTTAAAGGTTTAGTTTTAAGTACGTGCTTATGGTTTTGTTTTCTCAGATCATCATGGCAAAACCAGCCGGTGGGCCCAAACCTCCAAGTGGGAAGAAAGACTGGGATGATGACCAAAATGATTGACTGCCTTAGTTTTTACTGTAGGTGAAGACTACGTTTGTAGTAATAGTCTAGGAATTGCCTGATGTTTTCGTATTCTCCTTAAATTAAGAAGTGTTTTGTGTTTATATCCTCAGCTGGATGATAAATAAACATGTTGCTATCAAAGCCTCATAGTCTGATGAGCACCGTTCTTGGATGTAAATGACCTCTTTGTCTCAACCTTGGTAATGAAATTAGCTGTGGGACTGAAGGCAAGCCACTTAAGTAATTAGGGGCCTGTTCCTGTGTGTATCTGGCCTGCTGCCTGTTTGCCTACAGCCATTCTTCTGTATTTACATATAGTCTATGGCTGTTTCCTGCAAGGAAATGGCAATGAAGCAGTCATGATAGAGACCAAGTGACCTACAGGGCCAAAAATATTTGAGATCTGTTCCTTTGCAGGAAGTCTGTCAACCCCCAGACTGGATTTCAGGGTTTTTTTCACATCTCTGCTCTGGGAATTCTAAGACTTGAGAGGACATGTTTTTAATACCCATTTGTTGAATGGCTTAGTTAAAATAGTCTAGTAGTGTACTATAAAGACAGTTGTAATACCACTGAAAACATATCTGCTAATAGAAATTCGGTTTTTGTAAAGTAGATCTTTTTTCTTAAGATCAGTAAGGAGTTTTGAAAAAACAACATGAAAGGTATGGGACATGTGCTAACTCCTATGTCTTGGTCACATAATAATCTTTGGTCTTTGAGTAACATTTTGAAGGCGCCTGGGTGGTTCAGTCGGTTAAGCATCGGACTCTGGATTTCTGCTCAAGTCCTGGTCTGTTTGTGAGATGGAGCCCCGGGTTGGGCTTGGGGCTGACAGCACAGGGCCTGCTTGGGAGTGTCTCCCCCTCCCCCGCATGCACACTCTCAAAATGAATAAACGTTAAAAAATAAAAAGTTACATTTTTTAAAAAAATGATGTTTTTGGTATTTGAAAGGAAATTTTGGAAGCAGTAAGACTCACTGGGTCTTAGGTAGTAAGTGTTGAGAGTAATGGAAGTTTAGAGAGCGGAGGCTGAGCCTTGAGGTTTAGGATTGCATGCAACTTCCAGATGCTGGCTCACTTGGGTAAAAGGACAGTTCGCAGACTTTCTCTGGCATGCTGGCATTAAGGGGACCTGGTACTGAATTACTTACGAGTCGCAGGAGTGTCTACTTTGGGTCTGTTCACAGAAAAAGAGCAGTCAGGCCTACACCCCAGCTTATGTACACTGTATGGTGTCAGCAGAATTGTGGGTAAGAGACTTCTTCCAAGTATGTACTACTGCCATTATCTAATGTCTGCTTATAAAGTCAACACTTTTTAAAAATACATTTGAGGGGCGCCTGGGTGGCGCCCCTAGCCAAACGTATTTTAAAATGTTACGTGGTAGAGTAAGAACACAACTTTACATCTTCCAAGTAACAAAACAAGGTTTGGGGGTAAGTCGATTTATTGATGTGTTACAACCCATCAACCAGACAAGCACAGAGGACTGGGGTTCAAAATCCTTTCCAGAAACTGGAAGCAAGAATAAAAACCACTATGACAATACAAAACCATTGTAAATTTTTAGGTATTTTCCCTTCAATATTTTAATAAACATTTCTTCTGGCATGTATTTAAGTGAACATGATCTTAGAGTCTTCGCTTCTTTATTAAACATGATTTTACAGTCAGTCTTCGCTTATTATTAATTAGAGCCACTTTAAAAGCTATAAACTTGTTTGTGGAGAAAGCACTTTTTGAAGCGATTATAGTACTCTCTCATAAAATAGGAGGTACGCCTGTGAGTTCAGGACTTTAGTTGTCGGCACAGCTTGCACGTGCGTGTCACTGATGTGAAACCACTGCCCTTTGGTTGACTGCATTTCAAAATCTGTCAGGAGAAAACAAATGGGAAGTTCCGTTATTTTTTGGTTTGGCCATAATCCTCTGAATGCCAGAATTTCCCACGCCCTCCTACCTTGTGGAATATCACCGTGGAGAACAAGATTAGAGAGGTGACTGTTGGCAGCTCTTGCCTTTGCATAGGCAGTATAATGCCCTGACCTCATGGTGCCACTGTGTTCAACGACTCCGTATAAGGAATAAAGTACCCTTGTGTTTTCTTCCGCGACATTCTTTCAAAATGAAGAGAATTCAGAAGTTAGTTCTAGTCCCGTTTATAGATGCCATGGGCAAGATAATTTAAGCGAAGGCTTTCTAACCTTTGAGAATGTAAAATCATTCATGAGTCTGACCTTGACTACTATTTTCCCCCTACAGAGTAGTGTCACACTTAGGTTTTTATTAGAAAGTCACCGTTGCGGTCTGCCAGAATCACAAACCAGAGGCCACTTGCCTCAATTGCCGCTTCCCGGCCCAGATACTTCAGTAACCGAACTTGCCAGTTTCCATAGGAGTCCTGGGCTCTGATAATTGTGAGATACCTTAACAGCTCTATCGTTCCAGTTCCTGCCGAGACTGTAAGCCTTTGACAGCAAGAGGATCGCGTTTAAGTCGTGCCCCAACCACCCCTTATGTTTACAAACGTTCCTCAGAGATTTGGCTTCTCAAGGGCTCACTTCCACTAGCTAGATGGTGGAGGCTGCTTATTCTTTTAAGACCCCATATGCTACAGGGTTGACTGGTGACAAGGACAGGCATTCTCTGAGCTGGGGCTGCTTTCAGACAACTATTCCACTTAGGTTCTCTTGTAAAAAGTCCCCCTGAATGGGCATCATTATCTGTCAATAATACTGACGTCTCTTTAATCTGTGGCCCCCTCTTCACAGAAGAACTTCATCCTTCACTCCAAGTCCTGTCTGCTTCCTTAGGGACTTCAGTTGTCCTTCAGTGAGCTTCTCAGGATTTCTCCTGCCATCCCACTTTAAGTGCCAGGCCTATATTCTGCAATCGATCCTCACCCAGAACTGTTCAACTTCAAGTCTTCCCACTTTTCTAGTCTCCGTTCACAAGGCTTCCGCTCTTCCAGTTCTCTCACCGATCTCCCCTCTCTCTAACCTAACTGGATCCTGGAGTCCTCACTTTCTCCTGGCCGAGGAAGCCTCTCTTGGCCTCATTCCCCTATCAGGTCTGTGTCTTCACTGCTCAAGATGGCAACAGAACGGCAGTGTCAGCATTTACCTGAGGGCTTATTAGAAATGCAGAATCTTAGACCCCCACCCAAGACCTACTGATGCCCAAAGGACATGCATATTAAAGCTGGAGAACTTGAACCATGTGTATCAGTCTTACAAATAATCTCTCTTAACACCCACCACCAGCCTTGCCAGCACACTGATCATAAAACTCCAGGGGCGGCTGGGTGGCTCAGTTGGTCCAGCGTCTACTTTGGCTCAGGTCGTGATCTCACGGTCCATGAGTTCGAGCCCCACATCAGGCTCTGTGCTGACAGCTCAGAGCCTGGAGCCTGCTTCCGATTCTGTGTCTCCCTCTCTCTCTGCCCCTCCTGTGTTTCTGCTCTGTCTCTCAATAATAAATAAACATTAAAAAAAAATTTTTTTAATTAAAACAAAACTCCTTTCTGAATCCTACGATGAACCTTCCCAACCACACACCCAAAGAGCTGCTATTGCCAGAAAGCAAAATTACATATCCCTGCAGATTGGTAAACTCACTGAGGACTCATCAGGGTCCCCCATGTGACTGTCTAATCTTGGAACCTGTTCCCTAGTTAGCTCCTTAGTTCCACAGCTATCCTTCACAGCAACGGGCCCAGTCTTTAACCACTCCTATAGCCTCTCCTTATCACCTTTATTATTCTCTGTAGCTGACCTCACCTCCCACTTCAGGAAAACAGATAAAACCTACCCAACTGTAAGTTGCCCATTCTCAGGAAGATGAAGTATCCTGTCCCTTTTGTTCGGAAACAACAGTCCAACTTAGTGTCCTCATCCCCGCCCTTCTGGCTTCCTCCAGGGTCTTGCTCAGTCAAACCTCTCTTTTCTGTATCTTTAATTTCTAGATTTTCCTCTTGCTCTGCAAACCCACCTAAGTTTCCCAGACTTAAAAAAAAAAAAAAAAAAATTGATCTACCACTTTTCCTTTTCAACAATGCCTCAAACATACCTAGATGCTTTATTTCCAATATTGTCATTCATTGCTCAATCCACTGAAGTCACCAATACTTCTTAAAATTTTTACCATGACCTCTATACCTTCTAATCCACAAATACTTTCTAGGTCTTTTTCTCTGATATGCTGAGACTTGAGGCCACCCAGTCTTCTCCCTTAAGCTTGAGCGCAGGGCAATGTAGGCAAACAATGGATTCCTAATACCCTTGTGTTCAAACTAATCCAACCAAAGGTATTTCTGCTTACTGGCAAAAGTGGCCCTGCACCATGGTGATAATATAAAAACAATTACAATTCACTCTGCCCACCAGCTCTGAAATACCTTTCTTGGAGAATTTTAAAATTTTAAGTTGGGAGGGAGGATAGGAGAATTTCTATCATTTCAAATTCTGCACACAAATTATTGTTTATACTGAAGCATTTGAAATCCGAATATAATCCTACAGCTTCTCCAATTGTCCAAATTCTTCAACACGGAGATCTGTCAAGATCGTTGGTGGTGTCCTCCTCTTCTACATATGCCTCTTACACCCCTATGCTCACCAGAGTTGTCATTAACCATCTCTTCTCTTTCTCCATGCTCTACACAGGGGATCCTAGCCTCATAGTTTTAACCATCACCTATGTACTGATTTCCAAATCTTTGTCTCCAGACCTGACCTCTCTGCCCTGAGCCTCAGACATGCACATCTAAATGTGTCCCCCTGAGTATTTCAAAAATACCTGAAACTCAGTGTATCTAAAACCAAATTCATTATCCTTTCTCTACCTCCCAACCTGTTCTTCCTCTATTTCCTACCTCAATGAATGGTACTCCCATCTACCAAATGCCTCGTCACTCAAGCCAGGCCTCAGGAATCATGCTCAACTCTTTTGTGTACCCTTACCATCCATTTCAAGGCCTCTTCCTCTGCTTCCAGAGCCTGTATAAGTCATGAGTCTGGATAATTTTACCCCATGAAATATTCTTTCAAGCTTGCCCTCTCCTATCCTAAATTAAGCTCTCACCATCTATTGACTAAATTAATTCAACAGCCTCCAAACTAGAGAGCTCCTGCCTAAA